CGCTGAAGACAAAGCGGGTGAATAAGCAAATGTGGTGAAGAAAGCTGATGGAGCCCGGCTATCGAGATATAGCGTCTAGGGTCCTAAAGACAAAGGTAAACAAGCGGCCATCTAGCTCACAAGCAACAAAGCCCACATGGAAGAAGCACACCAGCCTGTCCCGGCCTTTAGGGCTTTCACCTAGGAGGTGTGGTGGATGGTACTGGTTGACACCATTGGCTGAATTAAGCTCACCTAGACTAGTTGGAGCCTACCCAGGTGTACCACCCACCTGGTTCGGGCTTGAATTGGCACACGCTCTAGGGCATTGGCTTCCAACCTCCTTTAGGGGGCCCTAGGCATGGAGAGGAACAACCCCCTATCCTGCTACCTAACATATTCATTGAATTCCTAGGTTATTAATCAAAAGGGTGAAATCAGGAAGAATATTCTAAATGTAGATCTCCTCACATGACAGATTTATGACTAAAATCTAGGTAGATCCCATTGTAAGAATCCACTTTGGATATGTAAATGCAGCATTTGTCACACAAAAATCACAGTTTTCTGGGAAACTGCTTGTTTTCATTCAAAGATACAGGGAAAATTTAACAAAAGCCACAATTCAACTAATACGGGGTTAATCATGTGACTTTAGTGGCCAGCCATTTCCGTCTTCATCAAAGTGTTTTTCTCCCTGTGCCTGGCTCCTTACAAAAGCCTTGTATTGTTCGGACCCTTGATCAGCTCTCTGAATGTCAACCAATCACACACGTTTTGGCTGTACCCTCCTGCTTGTCTTTATACGCCTTTGTGAACAAACACTTCTCTGGGGCACTTTGTCAAGGGCTGCTGGACTCTGTACTTCCCTGTAATAAACGCTTATTTTTCGTTTTCATCAGCTTTGTGGTTCTTTCACGATAACAGCCCTATGTACTAATCTAAGAGTTCTTAGCACTCATATCCTTCCATCCACTGGTTTCCTAATCTTCCAGTTTATTGTTAGGAAGAGAAAGGAACCATCCAATGATGCCCCTGGGCTCAAAAAAACTCTTAACCTCCCGACTGCCATGAGAGGATTGTAGGAACTACTTAGAGTTTACAGCCTCATCACTGACTCCTAAATGATTAATTCTACGAACTAATGCATCATTCCTGCCAAAAGAGACTGAACCAGAGTGATGCTATTTCTGAGAATTTATTACCGGGGCATCTGTTTTAAGAAGATATACACAGCATATTTAGTCAGATGTTTATCATAACTCCATTCATAACTACAAATTAAATGAAAACCTGCATGGCATCCAGGTTTGAACCCCTGGAGACCTGTTGAGCTGTCTGGCCATGCCCCCCACTACTGCTCTCTCCCTGCCCCACCCTCAACCTCTTTATGAGGGTGACTTCTGTGGCTGTGGTCCAGCTAGTTCTGAAGTTTTGATCAGGAGAGGCCTTGACACATACTACTCAAACTCAGACATGCCTTTTCCTTCAGAGATCATTTATACTGAACACCCAGCTCCCCGGTTGAACTAACATTTTCAAGTCGTCTGCACACTCTGGTGATTCTGTGTAGAATCCCCTATCCCCATCTCTGCGTGGATGCTGCATTTTCAGTTACAAAGCCTTTTCTGTCCTCCCCTAAATAGATGTAAGGACAAAGATGAACCTCTCATGGTTCTTTTACCTGCAACACACTTTGATGTGTTATGATTTTTCATGTCTTCTCACTACAGTGTATGTTTATAAGGTCTAGAATAAGTTTGCATATACAGCCCCTAGTGCAGACACTAGCACAAAGGGATCAAAGTGCTTATTAAATGAAAAAAGCCACACGTTCTTAGCAAAATTGACTTTTTAGGACTAGTTACATGAGCAAGTGAGCAACGGACTTTGTTTTTCTTACAAACAAATGCCTTTTTAGCATTGGCCTCAAATAAAGGCCCAAAGTGGCACATTTATCCAGTCCAAGTATTTTTCTCATCTGAAAACCCTTAATATTTCAGATCCATAAGCAGGTCTTTAGATCACCAAGGCAAAGTTAAAAATGAGTGAGTTGTTTGTTAACAGGAAAAATGTTTTGTAATTCAAGAAGCAAATGGCTCTGTGAATATATAGCTGAGCCTCAGAAATCTTCATGTGTAATACATTCTGGTAAGAGCTCAGTGATACTGCTAAGGAGTCAAGTTACAATTCTGATACTTAAGAAATGCCATTGTACACTGGGAGTAATTAACAAAGAACATGCCAGAAATACTAACAAAGTCCTCGTGTTCGAACTATAATCTATTGAACTTGCGCTCCTCTTTGCTTATCACTCAAGTACCTTGTCGACTGGTTTTGTCCATTCAATGGCTCCTTAGGAATGTCAGTTGGGCGAAAGGAAGTTCGAAGACTAATATTTTCCTAACCTGGCCTTAAACAATCTCATTAACCTACCACGACAAAGAGCCCTTTGGCACCGTGTACCAGGCAGGAGATGGGTAAGGAAATCTTGTCCACCTACCTATCTGTAGGTGCTCTGCACCTGCTGGGCCTCTGGGAGTAAGGGCTGGGAGCGAGGCATAGAAATGGTCTCTGAAGGAAAAGGGGTGTTGTGTCTGATCAGTACACATGGCACCAGGGAACGGACGCTCCTGATCAAAAGCGCTGAACTAACTGCACAACAACAACAACAAAGTCATCAGAATCAGTTCGTGTCACTGGCCATCTCCTGATGGAAGTCCAGCTCACTGTTCTCATCTGTTGCCTCCGCGGCTCTCCGAGTCCTCCTCGCCATGCTGCTTGGAAGGCCTGTTAGTTGCCCTGTCCAGAGGATGAGGAACCGTAACTGAACTTCCTACGATTTAGAAACTCTCTGTGTTTATTTATCTTGTTTGTTATCTTTATTTTCTGAAATCCAAGAATAAGTAGCAATACATTTATTTTTAAAGGCCTGTCATAACCACAATAGGGGGACCTGGGACATGTGTATCCCACTTGACAGGAGTTTTGCAGAGATGTAACTTCATGAGACAGAGAAAATGCTGGCAGGTACTGAAGGACAGAGAAGCAGGCCGGCCCTCTAAGGGGATGAAAACATGAACAGAAGGACAAAACGGTCCACACGACCCCAGAAACATCCGATGGGTCAGCCCTTTTGATCTCACACATCCTTACTAGTCCTACAAAGAGCCACACCAGAGGGATCCTTCTAAAGGACAAATCTGGAAGAGGGCACACTAGAACCAGGCAAAAGGAGAAGAACTCAGGAACATAGAGCCACGAAGGGCATGGCGATCCAACAGTCGTATTAACAAACACTGATTTTCACACGGACACACGGGTACGTGGAAATGCCAAAGAAGTGTGGGCAGATGTAAGGGAGCACGCCCACCTGGAGATACAGATTTGGTTGTAAACATTTCTAGATGCACAATTACAGACCCTTCCTTAAAAGGGAAGTCAAGTACTAAGTGGCTGGACCTTCACTATAGACAGATTGCCACCCACATTCATAAGGGGACCAGAACATTCTCTTGTCCAAAATGATCTCTACTCCTTGCCCCTGCCATTGCCTAGACCCCACCTGTACAGACGTATTGAACACAGACTCTTCTAAGAAAGCTACAGAAGTCATTACCAGCCGTTAACATGTTAGAGTAAAACTATATGACTTTTCAGCTTGACACCCATTGTGGAAAAAGCGGCTGAAGAAAGTGGAATTGACAAACTTGAAGGGAAAGATATTCTGGAGTCAGGAGGAAAACAGACCTTGGTCCTGGGAAATGGCGGTACAGTGATGGAGGGTATGCCAGGACATGGAGGAAGGATTCAGAAATGGGTCATGAAAATGAACCTTACTTAAAAAAACAAAAATAAACTACCCTGACTCACCCAATGGTGATCTTACCGACGTCCCCCATATTGTCCACATGCTTTAAAGCTCTAGAGAACAGAGCTGACAGTGACGAGGGAAACTCAAACTGGTGGAAGAAGGGAATGTATCGGCTAATGTAATCAGAACAAGAGGAACGCAAGCAGCTTCAGGCAGGTTTCTATCCAGGAGCCACATGGTGTCAGAACTCCGGCCATCCTCACGGACAAGCAATGACCCCAAAGCTCGGGAATCATCTCTTTCTATCTTGTAATCCAAGAGGAGCTATTCCTCTATCTTTATTATTCTTCCTCCCCCCTCCCTTCTCACCCCTTCCCTTTTCTATTTCAGGCAGGGACTCTTGGTGGACCCCTCATGGATCATGTATATGGTCTGCCATGTAGAACAGGGAAGGAGAAGCGGCTCTTCAAAAGAACGGGGAAGATGTTGCAAGTAAAATGAAGAAAGGACACCAAAAAGACACAAGCCACACACACACACACACACACACACACACACACACACACACACACGACAGCCGGTGAACATGACCTCCATCGCCCTCCCAGGACATCTGAGGCTTGAGAACAGAGGCTGCTGACTCTAGTTTAAAGTGGTACCTTCTTCAATACTCTGATCTGAGGGGGCTATAACTTTTCCCAGTAGAAAAACGCTGGGAAAGAGCTTTCAAGCCCCACATTCTATTGCCAAGAAGGAATCAGCCAATTGAAAACCACGCGACAAAAATCAAGCTTTTCCACCTACTTCTTCCATACTCCATAGGCTGGACCATAGGCAGCAGTATGATAAATGGAGGGAAGATTGAAAGTGCAGGGATTTCATTTTCCTTGCACTCACAATGTTTCTGGAAGCAGCAGTCAAGAAATCAAACCGCATACTGCATTGCTTAAATCTGTTGCAAAACACCTCTTAAAAGTGTAAAAAAGCAGAGCTAGCACTTTAAGGGCTAAGGGGCACCTGAGCCAAGCCGTGGTGTTTCATGGCTTCAGATGCACGTGAAAGCGGGCAATGAATAAGGAAGCCGGAAGAATGGATTTATTTGAATGATGGGTGTTGGTAGAGAATACTGAATATGCCAGATGGACAAACAACTCTGTCTTGGAGGAAGTACATCCAGAATGCTCTCTAGAAGCAAGAATTGGGACATGTCATCAGGAGAGCCCCGTCCCTGGAATAGAACATCATGCTTGAGAGAGGGGGCAGAGAAGAGAAAGGCCCTCAGTGAGACAGAGACCACACAGTGCTGGCTCAACGACACGCTCAACACAGCAGTGACTGGGAGGCCAGGCCAGGCGTCGCTCTGCCGTATTTGGGGTTGCTATGAGACCTACCTCCCAACAATAGGAGGGGCTCATCAGAGTCAGGCCAAAGGGTGGACCATTCAGGGAACTGGCTAGAAGTGAAAGAGCAGAAGGGGTACTGTTTTCTTGTTTCTTTTAGGGAATTCTAGATCGATTGCAAGCCTCCTCTGGGGTTACCATCGGTTCAATAACTCAAATGTGGCTAGGTGAAATGCAAGCCTGGGAGTTCCCAGAGAGGATAGGATTTCTAGGGAGTATAAAGCAGCTTCATACTCCGGGATAAAAAATCCACACATGCACATGCACATACCACTGCTTCTGCTCACCGTTTGTGGCACACGGAAGACTCTCCCCTTAGAAAGCAGAACCGATGCAGACAGAGGAAGCTGCTCTCTTCCCCCTCGATAGAGATACTCAGGACTAGCCTTTAGGATGCAGGTCCCCTCTTCCCTTCCTCCTGGTCTTGTACAGTGCTGTGGCTGTTTGTCATGATGAAAAGATGGTTGTAATTGCCTTGCATCAACTGTAATAGTCCACAGGAGCCCTGCTGCTACAGTGAGGAATGTGCTGGGCTGCTATCCGCAAGTTCAGCAGTTTGAAACCACTAGTGACTCCATGGGAGAGAGATAAGGCTTTCTGTTCCCATCAAGATTTTAGTTTATTTCTTTTTCACGCCCCCAAACCCCCTGTTCCCATAGATAAAAATGACAAAAACAAACAAAAACCTGAGCCCGCCGTTATTGATTCTGACTCATAGTGACCCTATAGTACAAAGTAGAACTGCCTCTGTGGCTTTCTGACTCTTTGCATTTTCTCCCTGAGTGGCTGGTGGTTTCAAACTGCTGACCTTGCAGTTAGCAGCTCAACGCATAACCCACTGTACCACCAGGGCTCATCATAAAGATTTATAGTCTAGGAAACTTACAGGGACATTCTGTTTGGTCCTATAGGGTTGCTATGAGTTGGATTGGACTTGATGGCAATGAGCTTGGCTTTGGGGCTTTGTAATAGCCTCAACCATTAAGCTTCACATTACAGCATGTCAAGCAGGAAGAGGAAGTGCTTTTTTTGAAGTGATTAATGAACTCTCTATTTGTCTTAATCAGGGAAGATCTTTCCAGCACTGTCCGACAAACTTCCTGTTGTGGTTCATTGGCCAGAGCTGGGTCCTATGTTCACCTCTAAAGAAGACCGTGGATGATGAAAACCATCAGTGTGTCAAATCTGGTTTTGAGTCCAGGGTTGCAGCCTTCAGTATAGATTACAACTCAATGTAAAGAAGGGCAAAATCCTCACCCCTGGACCAGTAGTAACATCAAAGTTCGAAGTTGTCAAGGATTTCGTCTTGCTTGGATCCACTCTCGAGGCTCCCGGAAGCAGCAGTCAAGAGATCAGACGACACACTGCATTGGGTGAATCTGCTGCACTGGACCTCTTTAAAGTGCTGGAAAAATGTTACTCTGAGGACTTAGGAGTGCCTGATCCAAGCCACGGTATCTTTGATCACCTCGTGCGCATGTGGACGTTGGACACTGAATAAGAAAAGCCAAAGAAGAGTCGCTGCATGTGAGTGATGGTGCCGTCAAAGGACAGCAACGGCACGATCGGCGGCTGGAAGGACCAAGCAAGCTGGTGTGGAAAAGGACAGGTGGAATCCTCCCTAGAGACCAGGAGGGCAAGACTTCGTCTCATGTCCTTGGGACAGGTTGTCCGGAGAGACTGGTCCCTGAAGAAGGTCATCATGCTTGGCAGAGGAGCAGCAAGCAAGCAGCCCTCCAGGAGATGGATGGGCAGTGGCTATCACAGTGGGACGCAGACAGAACAGCCGGAGGATGGACAGTGTATCGTTTCGTTACTCACAGGGTCGCTGCGAGTCAGACCAACCTGACAGCATCTGACATGCCAGGGAGTCAAATCCCATTTCGAGGTAGTTCTGTGCAGGCTGACGGACAGGTTAGGGTGGGGTACATTCCACTTTACTAGCTGGTGTCAATCAAGTCACCACTGTGGATTTCCTTAGGGATAGGGTCTGGTGAAAGGCATTCCTCTGTGTACAAGAGCCACCTCAGAAGTACAGAGAGAACCCCTGGACTCTCAAGGAAGAAAATCCAGCAGAGAAGCAAGCTTGGGATCTCGGACTGATTGAAATGGTGGAGGCCGAGACCAGTGGCCGTACCACACCAGGACCGGAGGTGGAAACGAGGAGACCATGAGACAGAGCAGAGGAGCAGCACGGAAACCTTCAGGCTGAGGCAGAACAGCAGGCGGGTTTCCTGGCCCAAGGCCATCAGAGGCCAAGAGCTCGCAGGGTCAAGAGGCTGAGGGCCGGCGACACTGGAGTCCTGGCTGAGATGAGATGTTTCTGTGTCCTTACTGTCTATGCTGACCCTGACTTGTGGAAAGCTGCTCACTTCCTCAGTACATCCCTTACCTGGATCATGAGAGTTCTGGACGAAGGATGGAGAGCAAGGGCTGTCTGACCTTTGCCCTGTGGCAAGAGGCCTTGGCTTGGTGGAGAGTGGAATCCCCTTTGTGTAGCTGTAGCCAGACGAGGTCAAATACTGCCACTGTTTTCTCACACGGGTGGGATAAGCTGTAAAGAGCTGTCCGTTAGTAGCATCTGAAGTCATCCAACTTCACCAGGAGAGAGAGGAATCAACATCATCATCAACCCAAGATTGCTTCCTGTGAGAAAATCTAACACACCTCCACTCTCCTTTTTTCTTTTCCTTAACCAATTCTGGCACCAACTGTCCATCACACCGCATTCTCCACCTTTCTGCTGGGCTTAGTAAACTGTTAAAATGGCTACACAGAACTCATAGATCATACTGAGAGTAAAGGACCTATTAGGGAAGTAATAGGCTACACTTCAAGATCAGGATCAACTTGTAATCAATAGGAATTCAGGATACAGTTCATCAATCTGAACAGCTTCCAACCAAGGGAACTAGCTCTCGGCTCTTTCTTAGCCTTGCTACCTGGCAGGTGAGCCTAAACTCTGCCACCCTCTCCTGCATGAGTCAGGCCTTCTGTCATCAGGCCCTACTCCGGCAAATGCGAACAGACGTTGGCTCAACCATTAAGCACTTGGAGGCACCCCGTTCAGCCTACAGCAAGCCTCCATCTACCTGAATGCACTCACCTCTCTCCATCCATGGCAGTGAGCCTGCTGCAGCCACCTGGCTCTGTGGGCCAGGAGTCCACTGCAGCTATCGCACACCAGTCTTCTCGTCCTTGCTGTTTGTGTTGTCTTGCAGTCTTAGTCTCGCTCCAGTT